AACGGGCAGAGAGGGGGACAGCCTAATGGCTCACGGAATTGGTTTCCTCCTCTGCTGTGAACACAGGTTGATAACCAGTCACTTAAAAGACCACAGCTTGTTTTCCAAAGTCATTTAGAATTACAGGGATGGCACAAACACTCGTTTGTCGGCACAACGTGGAAATGCAGTGAGCTGCTAATTTGTCAAGGCCAACCTGAGGAACATGTCCCTGCCCGCAGAGCCAGAGCCGTCCCCTCCACGGGAGAGCTGCTCCGTCCCCCCCAGCTCCAGCTCAGCCCAAGAGGGCTGTGCCAGCATGGGCCAGGCTCTCCACTCTGGCAGAGCAGGAACATTTTATAAGCCAGCAGGACAGCACAGATGGAAAATGAGTTTACAATATTCACATTTCCAGGATTAAGACCCATGGGTCTTCTAACTAGCAGGAAGAACTGCCAGACTTTGTATTAAATGATACTGCTGAAAGCTCACCTTGATTCCTCTGTCTCCAGTGACTGTGAAAGGGGTGGCTGAAGAGTGGGTGTAGCTCTCCCTGCTCATCCCACCCCAAACTGCAGGACACAGCGAGGCTTTAGGGCACCTGGAAGAGGACAGAAACACTTTGCCATAATGAAATCTTCCACGGAGAATCCTCCCTCCCTGCTTTTTGGTGATGAAGACACCCCTGCACACCCACCTCAAAGGCACCAGCAGGTCTCACCACCATCCACAGCCCAAAAGCCCACAGCCAGTTGCTGGTGTGATACTCATGTCCCAGCTTACACAAAGGCTCCTGAAGAAGCTTTGCCACATTATGGTAGGGCCTACACAAACCCCTGAGGGAGACATGGTGCGGCGTATCAACACACAGTTGGTTACCTGCGGATTTCTGAAAGCCACCAAAACAGAGGGTCCTTTACTGGGGGTGAAAAACCAGGAGCGTGCGAGTAAAAACGTGACTTGTGAGTGCCCCGAGTGCCCTCCCTCAGCCCTTTTGGGGCAGCACTAAAGCGAACTGGGGTGCCAGTGAAGCTGCGGATGTGCCGTACCCAGTGCAACAGCTCCGGCTGGTGGCTGCCAAGGGCTGCTGACCACATTCACGCAGAAACAATTCGGAGGGAAACGTGGTTATGCCAAGCAAATACTTGATCTTCCCGTTTGTATCAATCTACCTAACCACAAGGGACAAGAAAAAAAAAAAAATAAAAATCACAGCTGCTTTTGCTAAACACCCAACATGGATATAAAACGCACACACACATTTTCCATCATTGCTGCTTTCCAACAGCGCAATGAGGGAAGAGATTTAATTACACACAAATTCTACTAAATCAAGAAGAGAGACAGTTGAAAATAGGGGGGAAAAAAACCCATTTAATTCAATTTATTTAGCAGCATCTTTATTACAACAAAGGTTTTGTAATAAAACGCAGCAAAACTAATGTCTCCACTTCACATGATTAAAAGCCATGTAGCTAGAAAGGTGGGGGAGGGAGGGAGACCAATAAACCCACTGGAGTGAGACATGCAATTTTGTTAACGCAAACAGCAGGCACTTCATGTTCTAAAATTAAACACCTGAACTACTGTGCAGAACATCCAAGCAAAAACTGCATGAAGATCTCTCTTCCCCTTCCAAAGGAGCAGCCCGGAGAACCGTGAGGGGGATACAAAAAGTCTTTACAGGGTTCTGGTACTCAAGTAAACAGGCAATTCAAGGCAGTGTCCTAATCTGGCTGATTATTTATTTATACTCTGTTATTGCCTTGTCAAAAGTTGAGCGTCACACCAGCAGCAAAACAGCCTGCCTTACACACAGACACACACAGCAGAAACACAACCCACTTCTCCTGGCAGGGAATAAGGGTTGGGGACCCCCTGGCTCGGAGTTCGTGAATTCTCCGTAATTTGCCACACAGGCTCAGACATACAGCGCTCCAGGGCTGAAGCATTACTACACCACCCTGCTCAGAAAGTATTTCCATAGCTTATTCCCAAATGCCACTACTAAGTAGGGAATGCATTTTCCATTCTAATATAATGAAGTTAGTTGATTTTCAAAGCTTTACTTGGTGCTTTGAACTCATTTCTTTAAGTTTATAAAAAATAAGCAGTTCTGAGTAGATACTAATTCTACTTTGTTCTGAATAAAAAGAGATAACTGAAAACAAAGCAGGGTAGGGAGCGCAACTCCAACGCAAAGGATGAAACCCAACGGCTTTGTGCATTGCACACTCAAGTGGAATTACTGGAAGCTCCATTAAAACAGGACAAAAGAACATGCCTCCTCCAGAAACAAGCAAAACAAATTCCAACTGCTGCAAACGAGAAGAAACTGCTGGCATCAGCACTCAACAGCTTCAGTATCTCATTGCTCAGATCCCCGTATTTCATATGTATTTTTTTGAAACATATGAAATTAAAACATTCATCTCAAAGACACCTGTGCAACTGATTTCCACCATGCAGTGAAGGCTCAATCCTGCTCCTGCTCGGCACAGAGCAGACCTCTGCTGAAGGCAGGGACACACTCCCGTCTGTTTTGGGAGCCACAGGGATGGTTCTTCCTCACACGTTTTTGCTCCTCAGACATCCTCCCCTGCACATGCATCCCCCAGGATCTCACTAGTTCTGCTGAAAACTCATTAACCAAGACATTTTTTACCATGCAGGAAGTGCCAAAGTATAATCCCAAGTACCAAACAGGCTGGAAATCTCTTGAGTGACAGTACCACCTCCTGGACTGCAAGGTACGACCTCGTCCTGGAGCAGGCGACTCCAGCGGCGCTGAGCAGGGCAAAGCCCCTGCTCTCAGTGCCAGCTCTGGTCATGTGGCCATTATGAGGTGCAGGACTACTACTCCCCCCCACCAAACCACTTCGGCAACCATCCTCAGCACTAACACCATCTACCTCTGCAGTCTCAACTTGCCCTTCTTCCCATGTCACCGGGAATTTAGTCATTGACTGCGTAGGGCTGAATCAGACCTCATATAAGGCATCTCTCACCTTCACCTACAAGCAGGCATTTTCTTCAAAAACTCTGATGGTAAATCCTCCCAGCACTTCTACAGGATAAGAGAGCATGGGGTCTTAAAGTGCTTAACTACTGTAAAAAGAAAAAAATATTTGTAGGAAAGAAATACATAATGTATGTTGCAAAATAGAGTACTCTACAGTACGTTGTACTTTAATAGCTTTTCAATATATATATTTAAAACAATGGATGCATTATTAAAAAGTTATGTCAGCACTTACAATCACACCCTGTGCTAAATCAAAACCTAGCCTGGTTTACTTGCATAACATTTAGTTTTTCAGTTCCCAAAAAAGTACTGTTTGATGAAGGCCATTTCTGTTCTGTTTTTTAAACAAAATGATCGATTTAGTCTTAAAAATCATATACATTTACATTCGAGGGTCATCACCTCTAGAAAAAGAACAAGAACACCCCAAAAAGCAAGTTAATTTAATATTGAACAAAATATAAACAACCTTGGAAAAGGTGATACTATCCACGTGTAATTTTATACATATATGTATATATGAACAGATATAGATATATGTATATATAATACAGCATAAACACATAGGGATCACAATGGAATTCCATAGTAAACAGCTTATACTTGTCTCTACTCACTGTTGTGTTGTTCTGTTCAAATGCATCAGCAGACGTATCCGTCTCAATGCTGACTACAGCACACTCCACAGGGATGCTGCGTTTGCTTTCAGTCACAATTAACTAAGTGAAGACATTACAGGAGCAGGGCTCCTTCCCTGTCATGCCCTTCCCAAAATAAAAACTGTAAGCCTGTTACTGACTTGCTAATGGTATTTTAACTGATCCATTTATAATCACTGTGATCTGAACAGGAAAGAAAAAAAAAAAAAAAAAAAAAAAAAAAAAAAAGCCCAAACCAAACATCCCCAAACATCCCCATCTTGGAGGAAATCTGCATTTACTGCATGCCTGTTGGCTTCGGCTATCCTTTGTGTAACCCAAAAACCAGAGCCCGTTCTCACACACACATTTTACAACCGTGTAACTGCACCAGCTCCGATAGCTTTGGTGCACATGTCCAGCAGCCTAACTGAAAAACGATGCGGTTTGATACAATACAGGCAGACTGTGTTAAATCCTGGAGTTTCAGGATCAAGCTGAACAGTACAAAAGCAAGGAAAATACATGGTTACAACATGTGGAGAACTAAGAGCGTAAACACTGAGAGTGATTCCAGATTTTTAGAAGATTAAAAGAAAATCATGCTCTGCTTCTCTCTAGCACCAAAACAGAAAGAAAAGGAAGTTCTTAGGTTTCTAAGAAAACCATTAAAACTTATAGGAGCCTCAGAGGCAAGCCCCAAGGGGAGAATTTCCTGGATTAAAGAGAATCATTTTGCTATGGATTTCTATCCTAAACGACCTGTTGCAAGTTAAAAGTGACTTCACACACTTATGATGCTTTTTAGTCAAGCCTGCTGCTTAGTTAAAACCTCACTAGCTAAAACACAACTGGGATTGCATATCCTTTAGGCTTAGCGGGGTTACCTTAAGCTATACAGAAGGGGGTTTCTCAAATACAGCATCATAATCATGCTAAACAGCAGTGCTAGAAAGGACCCGGGAATGGAGAACTGAACAGAGTATGAGCCTGGGAAACAGTCCCTCAAATAAAGCAGGAAATTCAATGAAACAGTTCATATTGCCTCACATGTAGTGTTCATAAGGTCTCTCCTCACCAAATCCTCTGTAGATCTTTGAATCAGAGTACTGAATGGTAAAATCTTAACAGGATGCATATACCTATATCATGCTGATGTAATGGTAAGCAAACAGTATTGCAAAACCAGCACCAGAATGCACATCAGGGAAAAACGTTGATGAGAAATGGGCTGCACTTTTAGGCTTGTTTTAAAATCCAGAGCTTCAGCTCTTTGACTTAAGTTTGCACCTCATTCCCACATTTGTGCAACATCAGGGTTTATTTTTCTAATTTAAAAAGAAAAAAAAAAGAAAAAAAAAAGAAAAAAAAAGAAAAAAAAAGAAAAGAAAGAGTATGATTTATCCTGGGGAGAGAAGAAATCATCAAAAAGAACCTGGCATCAACTAAACTGAACCCAAAATTTAAATTCTTTATGAGGCAGCTTAAAAGTTGTCCGTCTTAAAAAACAATTATCACCTAGATAGGTGATGTGTCTAACTTGTGACCAGCTTCTAAGGAGTGAGACACATCCCATTCATGAAGCCAAAAGGCTATATGAGAGCATTTAAAATGTAATACAAGTTGTAACCATTCAGGTAAACTCTTGCTGTGTAGTGAGTAAATCATCCAGTATTATGTAATCAGATACCAAGGAACACACTGTAAAAATACATCAGTTATGTCATAATATTTTTAAAAAGTGAAGATCTGGTGCTGTAGAAGTACATTGTTCTCAGTTTCAACTCCTCCCCCAAGAGAACAACCATGGTACTGCATTATACCACAGACGTGTGACTTTATTTACATATTAAGCTTTAAAGTTGTTAGGTCACCGTACTTTAATTTCCTGTATGGCACCAAATTTACTTTTAAAAAAGTGTCTCCATTTGTGTGTGTGTGTACATGTGGCAGGCACCAAAATGCAATGTTCCATCCCGTTTCCTCTATTTTCCTACATCTCGGTCAGTAAAGCAGCCAGTGGAGCAGAGTTCTGCAGAGGTCAGTTACATTGCCTTCAGGGCAGCAATCCGAGAGCCCAGGTTCTCTTGCAGGTAATACAGTAGATGGAGTTCATAGTGCTCTCCCGACTCAGGTACCCTTATACTGTGCCTCTCCTGAGGGTAGATCTGAAATATAAAGTCATAAGTATCCACAAGAGCTGCAGGCACCAACATTTAAACCAGCCCTCCAAAACATTCATGTAGTCTCCCTGCATTAACTCAGCACCTGAGCTAATACACCCCCTCACCCTCCACTGCCAGAACCCAGACAAGCACGGAACCCTCTGACCCAGCTAGCGCTGCGCTGGAGGCGATAGGCCTGGCTGGAGAGGCAGATCCTGCCCAGAGCCATCACAAAAATCAGTGTGTCCCCAGTTCTACAGCATGGTGTGTGATACCTGGGCTACATCTGCACACGACCAGCAGGGTTTGATTAAATGCACAGACCTGTTCCACACTGCACAAACTCTGCTCTACTGCCTCAAAAGTGCAGATCTCCTCAGGAGCAGCCTTAACCACTCTTAACTGCTCATTTACCTATTTTTTTGGGTTTTTTAACTCACAAAAACTTCATTTAAAAAAAGTGTTAGGCTCAAATACTACAGTTTTATCCTGGAATTCCAAGCTGCCCAGCACAGCCATGATACAAATTCTGATTCTGGACTCCTGAGTCAAAGACAGACACATTACACTTATATCCTGGTTCTGGCCTTACCTGTAAATCATACGGTTTCCCAGCTCTCACTAAAAAGCTGAGCAAAATACTAGTGTGTGCAAAGTGAACATTCTCATCCAAGAATCCGTGTAGCAGCAGCAAACGGTTTGGTCTGAGAAAAGCAAGAGACAAACATTTCTAGACAGCATCCCAAAACCCGTCAGTCATTTCAGTCCACAAGCATCCCTTAAAAACACATAACAGAAAAAAATATTTGCATTGAAGACAGCAATTTCACTATTGTAAATTGCTCTGGACATGCCTCCCAAACTTATTCCTTCCTCCTCTAAAAGTCCATCCTGCATATGCACATCACAGTCAGATATTCCATCTGTCTATCTTCTTTATTCTCAGAAGTATTTCCTAGCTTGGACAATACAACAGCTTAACACTTATCAGAATCACTGCTGATTTTCAGCTCTTTGGCAAGAAAGCCCATGGTCTCAGCCTGCTCTGCAGTCAACTCTGTGCTGATACAGCCTGAGAGCATGCAGAAAGCATTCTGATCAATTAACTTTTATCTAGCTTGATATGGCTCTAAAGTGCTCATCATATAATTGAAGATATGTTTGTCATTTCTTTAGACATAAAAGATAGTCTTTAATTATGGCTAGGATAAAAGGGATTACACAGAATGGCTTGTAATTATGCAAATGTTCATTCAAGTCTATTAAGTTTTTTAGTGTTAGATTTTTGTCTTTTTAAAAAAAAAAATTATTTAATACTAGCATTTGTGATTCCAGGATTCAATTACCAAGAACAAGGAGATAAAAATGTGCCCATGGGGCTTTAACTTTCCTGGTTGGAAAAGCAGAAGGCAAGAGCCAGAACCAAACTTACTCAGAAGGAAACTTCTCGGCTTGCATGGCCACCGATCCTAGGTAATAGCCCTGCTCGTTGTGATCCGGGTGGCCCATGTAACGCTCCGTGTAACCAGTGTCATAAAAAATCCACAGCGTGACGGGTGCTCCAGCAATGGCAACCTGCAAGTTCAACAGGGCTCTCATCATCAGGAGGGAAACAGCACCACCTGACCACTGATCTGGGGATGTCCCTCCCTCCCACAGCTCTATCCCACTGCCACTATAACTGCCCAAAACACACTGGTAGGTTTACAATCCACAGCCTGCAGTGGAAAAAGAAATGCAATCCTCACTCTCCCTCCCACAGTTCATACATATCAGCACAGTTCAGCTACAACCTATGTGTGCTGAAAACAAGGCAGCTGCTGAAAACTAGGAAGATCATACAGACAAACTGGAAGCAACACTGAATGTATCACCTACAAAACCTGCTGAGGGAAGGGGATTTTGTCCAAAAGGCAGAGTGCTCTGCTTTGTTCATCTGAACGTCTAACAGGAACTGGGGTCAAGAGTTCCCTAGGACTCACTAAACTACCTTGCATAGCTACCACCAGCTTGCAGAGGCTAGTGAAAAAAAGACCAATGAGGAAAAAAAAAAGCCCACCACCAAAAAGCCTTTTGCAAGGCATGTATTTTTAAAAGTAAAAGTATAACAATCTTTAAGGACTTAAGACAAGTAATTATTAAACCTCTCAGGAATATTCAGGTTGGGCTTAGACAAAGCAAGAGCATCCTCAAGAGCAGTATCCTGCTCTTACCACACATCTCTACCTTTGAGACTTGCCCAACAGCAGTCTGGCCACTTACTATAGTGGTCTAAAGTCACAAAATCACAAGAGCCTCTTTTCAGTACCTCTCAACATCCCCAGGTTGCCTCCTGGCTGCTTCAGAACACACTGCTATGAAGCAGCATGGGAAATTTGATCTGGGAATAGATCAGTCTGCAAAGAAAGTATTCTCTCAGAGCAGGAAAGGGGAGGGTGAAGAGAAGGAGGTTTTGTTTTTCAGCAGGATCATTTCCCTTCCTTGGATGACACCACAAAGAGCTCAGCTGACACAAAGCTGGCAACAGCTGAGACTATAAAAGGTACCTCAGCGCAGGAGACCTGAGATTGGTATAGCTATACCAGCGCGGTTAAGTGATTGTAAGTTCAACAGTCCAACAGTTTAAAGCTCTCACACAGTTCCAGAGAGGGAATATCCTTCCGTGCTCAGCTGAATGGGGTGAAAAGCTGTTTCTCCTCACCCCAGCTCACATGAACAGGCTCTCAGATATTCCAGTAAACCTGGCCTACCTAAACAGTCCCACACTTATCTTACATGCCAGGTTTCTTGGATGGCAAGCATGTTCTGCCCAAAAGCACTCTGCTCACTTTAATGCAGGAAGCCTCACAGACAACACCACACCTTCATATCAGGTCAAGATAATGTTTGGCCCATAATCAATCATAACTTAGAGCTGGGGGAAGCAAGCACAGCGACAGTGCAGTCACAGCATGATCTTTGGTGTGTTATACTCAAATAAGAACACCACACATTCCTGAAAAGAAAAGTTGCAAATCTGTGTGGAGAGGCAAGAAAATGCAACACTTAATTGCACAAATGCAATTTTCTGATTTGAGGCATCTCTGTTACTATTAATTATTGGGGCTGTACTGGTAACACTGCCTCTGAAAAGCTGAGTCCCACAGCTGTACCAGTACAGACTCAATGCAAACACCAGTCCCAGACACTTCTCAGAGCCTAACAGTGACATAAGGCTTAGAGCATCTCATTCCCATGCTTCACACAGAAACACAAGTGGAGAGAACCGAGGAGATAACCCAAGGTCACACAATAACTTAAAACTGCTCTTGCAACACCCACTGATTGCTGGTTTTAAAAGGTACTGTAGCTTGCTAGCAGGCACTAGCCTTGAAGACTGAATAGAATTTCAGATCAGTTGTCTGCAAAGTACCAAAAAAATAACCAAAGCCTGGAAGCCTAATTAGAAATACCATGGAAGAAAAGTTTGTTACAAAAGCAACTTCTCTCCAAAGTCACCCAAATAGAAGTCTTGAAGGAAACAGCCAGAGCACTGTGTCCTCCCTTGTCTAGAGCAAACAAAAAAGTCTTTGGTGCTGTGAACACCCATGGGAGGTTACACTATTAAGGGAAAAATTCTGTCTGTACCACTAGAATAAGTACTCAACATATGAACATACCCTGAAAATATCTGACCTCTGCATTAAAGCCATAAGAGAGAGGTAGCCTCCATAGGACCAGCCGTGAATGCCAACACGATCCAGATCGATGAAGTCATACTGGGATGCTAAATACTGCAGCCCTTCCACCTGGTCATCAATTTCTATTTGTCCCTGGAAGGGGAGAGAAAAAAGTAAATTTTGTCAGTTCCAGACGATTGTTACATTCTCAGGATTTCCAAAGGTCACCACCTTCAGACCTTTGCTGCTTCTGTTTGTGCAGCACCCAACCAGCACTCCGCTGTGCTAGGCATGTTACAGAAACATGACGCCTTTCCCCCATAAGACAATAAACATATCCTAACCCAACCTTTTAACTATCTTTTTCTTCATTTGCCTCCTTGCCTGGGGACAAGTAAGATTCTTCAGTGGTTTTGCTTTTTGCTGTTACAAAAGTAAGGCTGCATTCTAGCTCTGTGCATGAAAATGCCATTCCCACCACAGAGAGCTACATTGCAAAGCCAGCACAGGCCCTCCCTGCCTGTACATACGGGCAAACACACGCACCCTTTCCAGCCTGACATAGGAACTGCCCTAAACAGCAACCCCTGCTGTGAATGAAACCATCCTGCTTCATGTGAGCACCATAGCATTTCTGATGGGAGTCAGAAACGCCCTGAGGAACCACCTTGCGTTATGCCTGCCAAGCTGGAGTTGGTTCACAACCTCAAACCCTGACATTATATATCCTTCCCACACAGAGCATCTTTCCTCCCTGCCATGCACAGTTCACCTTGCCCAAGCCTAGGCAGTGTCACACAGGCAATGCTGGGCATCTGTGCCAGATCAGTCCTTCTGCTTAGATAACACTGGGACTCAAATCTGTCTCTGGTTGAAAACGAAGAGCCAGACTCAGAGCTCCACTTACCATTTTGTATTTAAAGGCTCCTTCAAACTTCAGCCCTCGGTGGCAGGACCCCCTGTTGTCAATGACAACAACTACGTAGCCTAAAGAGGCCAAAGTGTTCAAACGGAAATACTTGATTCCTTTAAACCGATTGTTCACTAACTGTACCTGGAATAGAAGAGCAGCAATGACACAATCACACATATAATAGAATCCACATGTCACCACTTAATCCAATTTCAGATTTTATTTGTATTTACCTTCCTTTAAATGGTTTATACACTTTAATAATGTAAAGTTTTCAAGATCTCTCCCTCCCTGCAGGATTCCCTCTCCCTGCTGTTGGTCTGCTATCAAATATACTCTGAACTGAGCTCCCCTGCAGCACCAACAGGCACAGTGCAAGCGGCACGGCTGCTGACTGCACAATGCAAACCTGAGCCTGCAGCTCTGCTCTCCACTCTCTGTTATTTCTCAGGAGAAAAGTCTTTCTCTTCAACAAATCTCACTTCAGCTGCCTTGGCCCATAGCAGGGCACAGTAGAGTTGGGGGAACCAAAACAGGGCTAAAGGGCTGGGAGAAGGACGACTGGGGAGCAAGCTCTCCTCAGCACACAGGTCAGTGCTAACAGAGGTCCCCTCGCAAACACATGGGGGAAATGGAAACAAAGAGCAGAAGCCCCTGCAGAGGAGGAGATAGTCACTGTCCCCTGTTCTATCTGCACTCCCCTTTCTCCCAGTTCCAGCTCTGTTACTCTGTACCTGCTCTCAGACAAGTGGCAGTGCCTTGATCTATGACCTGGAAATCAAGACCGCTTACACCACCTTCAGCCAAGCAGCTACTCATCAAACAGGCAAAATGCTGTATGCTCTCCTCGGCACCAAGCAGGAACTGTTCATCCAGGAGAGCAGCCCATGCCTCTGCTCACCTACACACCACACTCACCTGAGGCCCGCCATAGATGAAGAGCACAGTGGGGTACTTCTTTCCAGGTTGCAGATTGTGAGGTTTGTACATCATCCCATAGAGTGTAAACCCTGTGGAGCTCTCGAAGGAGAACACCTCTGGGGGAATGTAATCAGGAAGAGGGCCTGCCACGGGAAGGAACAGAGAGCCTGGTTTAAAAGGGAATGGATGAATACTGCAGCTCTGCTTTGACCCTTCCCCATTACCAGTCTCGCTGCAACCCCAGTGGAGCTCTCCCATGCCTTCCAGTGGATGTGGCTGGGACCAGGCAGAGACTGGAATGCACTAGCCCTAGGGGAGTTTTCTCCTATCACGTTCCCATCTCTGTTCTCCTGTGAGCAGCAGTAACTCTTCTTCCCTGACACAGCCATTACGGGTATCCAAGTCCCTTCTGAACCTCACTTAGGACTCAGGACACTAATACAAGGAAAGCACAGGATATGGAGCATACCTTAGGGAACAGAAACACAATAGAAAACTAAAAGCCCAAGAGCTGTCTCAAAGACATGAGTAGGCAGAAGCACACAACTATTTAAGAAGTGGGTGCCCTTTGCCAGAAGTATTATATATGCTCGTTAGCAGGCACATAGCACAGAGTAAATGAGCACACTTAAACCCCTCCCCTAACACTGAAACTGGCTGTCTGCATCTTCTACTGGCTCTGGCAACAGAAACTTGGTAATTTGCACTCAAAATACCTTCATGGGCAGTTTATACCCATTTGTTGCTGAGCTGAAAATGTCACTCCTGTACTTCCAAGAACTCACACGAGCCTGAGTTTCAGAGACAGGTCTAGTCACCCACAACAGCAAACTCAAACATATTCTTGGGGTATCTTTGAGTCTGTGATCCTGGTTGTCCTTTACCTGCTGAATCTAAAATGGTAGCCCAGAATTCCTTTGTCCTGTGAGCTGCATCATCTTCAGGTCCTGTCAGCCGGTAAAGTGACACACAGTGTGGGTTCTTCTGATTACTGTACTTGCTGATGAACATGTCACAATCCTATAGAAAAAAGGAACATTACCTTGAACTCCTCAGTGCAGAAGCATAAACACAAGCGACCATTTCTTTCTGCATTTAGATCTTTCAGAAGATGCTTATGGACCAAATTAAACCAGGAAGTCTGAGCACTTTTGATAACAGCAGATAGATTCTGAGAAGCTACAGTCCTTAGCAAGATTCAAATATTAACACTCCAAAGCCAAAAATACACCTGCAAAACCAAAAATGGTATGCAGACCTTGTCACATATTCTCTTCTGTTCAGCTGGGAATGCTTTACCCAGGTTACTGTCCCAGATGCCCAGAACCCCACCCAACACTGCCACCAGCTCATCTCCTCTAGCAACTGCTCCATAGCCCACTTCAGGTGAAAAAAGCCACACTCAAACAGTTCCAAAAACTTCATCCTGGCTATTTTAGCCTGAAGCAAGCTGAAGAGCAACTGAACTGGGAGATCAAATCTGGTTTTCAAGGTGGGTTTATGCACCCACTGTACAACATGGAGGAGCACACAACACAATGTAAAAATATGCTTTTGTTATATTCAAATACAGCCTTGTCTGCTGATTGATGAAGGACAAGACTGGTGATAAGCCACAGCACACCCAGCCAACCCTGCCTACACAGGGCCTCACAGGCAGACAGGTACCTGGCTGACACAGCAGGCGTGAGAGTAACCATGTTCTGTCAGCCGCTTTACTTCTCCAGGATTCTCGTAGTTAACAACGTACAAGTGATGCTCTAAAGGCGAGTCTTTTGTGCCTTGAAAGTACACCAGTTTTTTGGCTTCATCAACATAGATCTGTCAAAACCAAAACAACACATCCCTCAATATTGTTTCTTGCCAAAACAATACCCAGTTCTACCATCTCCAAGTCTGCCCCCATCTCACTTCCATAAAGTTGAGTTATAGCCCAACAGTCTGCAAGGAATAAGCCAAATGACTGTTCTTACTGTCCACAACTCTGTCAGTTATAATTTGCACTTTACACCTTGTTGCTCACCTCTCTCATGCAGGTCCTTCACTCTTCCCAGTCTCCCTGGCTAAAAAGACACAGAGCTAATAGATTTATGCCAATCCTTCCTCTGAATCTCTCTTGATTCCAGGACAGCAGTTGGACACCATCATGACAACCTGCTGCTCATGGAACATGTGGCATTTCCTCACTGCTGCCTCACAGTATTTTTGCTCCCTTTCCATCCTCTTTAAGCCTTGGACTTAGTGGGGGAGACTCCTTGTTAACAAAGATCCAAACAGGAATGCGCAGGAAAAGAAAGTCTAACTAATGTTGCCTGTGTTGCTTTCCCACTGCCAAAAATCACAACCTCTGGTCCACAGAGCAGCATAATCAGAGGTAGTGATGGATGAAAGCACACTGCAGACCAAAAATCCCACATGGTATCTTTGCAGGATATCCACGCAGCAAGAGCAGAGACTTACATTGGATCCATGTCTGCCTAGCACTTCCCATTCTCCACTGGTAATCGCTATCTCCTCTTTGATGGGGCACTTGAAGTCACCTGCAAATAACCAACATACAGAGATTTTACAAAACACATGGTCACGATAATACTTCTTCCTCCCAAGCTTTTTTACTAAACTAAACCCTAGAGCAACTCGCCTTTGCAGAAGACCCACACCTCTGCCAGCTTCCCAGGCAAAGGCTAGGGCTTGTTAGGGCTAGTACTATTTAACATTCTGTGAAATGTATGTTAAAGGATTCACAGGATTCAACCTGAGGCCTGGACAGCTTGCCTGCTTTTTTTTTTTCTTTCCTTCTTTTTTTAGTATTTGTCACTTGCACAGAAATAGAGGTTTTATACTGAAAAATGGGTGTGCAAAGGGAATCTCAGATGTCAAAACATGGGGAATTTTGCAACAGGGTGGAGAACAACTCTGTTTTTATAAGATGGTTTTGTTTCCCTTAGAATGAGGGAGATTTAGCGAGAAAAAGAAGTCAGATGCATTCAGAGAAATCTAATCAACCCCGGATATAATGCTATTTGGAGAAAAAAACCCTCAACAGTTGCATGAAACTAGGACCTCTAGTAAAATTAGGTGTACTTTTTGTGCATGCAGAGCTCAGTAAGTGCCTTCAATACACCCCAAGTAAATTAAGTATCACAGCATGAAACTGTAAATTAAAGAATACATGCTGAGGAAAAACCGTTCTGGGAACTCTGCACACAGCTATATCATGCACCCGAGCAAGACCAAACTTTGACTGCAGCTTGGAAGCACGTGGCCCTTTTTGTTTTGCTTGAAATGACTCTTCCTGCATTTCCATTTGCAACAGCTGCCAGTAATTTTCTCCTATTAACATCTCTGTCTATACAGCAATACCACGATTGTTTTTCAGAGCAGAGAGGAATTGTCTGAATAGTTCTCATATCACAGGGTTTTCCTCTTTGACAGCTTCTCTGGTACCAATCTGCTTGTAACAGCTGACAGGGACTATGTTGGTTTTACTTGCAAAATCAAATCCTGAACCAATGTGCATCTATTAGGTACACTGGACCCTGCACATCAGAGCTAGCTATGTTATTGCTATAATGATTAACCTCTGGCAACGTCAGCACAGAAACAGTCCCAACATTGACAAGGGAAAACCAACTAAGTGCATTTCACAGTATCACCAGGAGGTTGTTTTCCACTTGATTTTCTGAAACTTTCCCTTCTAGCCCATGAGGAAGAATCAGGGTTAAAATGAAGGCATACTGAATACAGAATCATCCCTGTAAAATTTCAAGAGGAATGACTGTGCAGTAAAGTGTTTCCTGGACAACAGCAGGAGTTTCCAATAAGACAACAGTTCCTGTCACCTGGAAGGACATTTGTTTCCTCACTAGTTGGCAGCAAATGCCCAATTAAAGCAAAAGAATAATTTCACTTACTTGGAGCAGGGAGGCCTCCACATGACCGTTTGTACTTGCTCTCCTTCAAAACTGAGATGACTTTGTATAGGTGTCGGAATCCTGTTTTACACTCAGAGGCAAAAATGAACTCTATCTCATCTTCATGGGTTTGAGGGAAAACATAGAAGATATCATGGATCTGTGGAGACAGAGCAGTGGATTACTGTTGTTAGTGGGAGTCTGGCACTGAAGCTGCACATAAGTTCCTCTTACTGCTCGACACAGACAACAGTTCACACTAGCAGGGTGCAGCACTGTCCCTTACTGGGAGAGCCAGTTATGCCCATGAGCCACGGTGTGTCTGCAGACAGCTCCACACGTGCTGCACAGCTCCAGGATTTTTGCTAGTCTAACTCTAAATTCTGGCCAACAAACTGATTAAGTTTCTCTATACCTGCCTTTCTAGCTTAGATACAGAGGCCAGTCCAGCTCTGCAGACAGCATACGAGAGCCCAGCAAGCCAGGGTTCAGTGGCCTCTTCTGTCCAGTGCTGTCTAGAAGCCCACAAGTGAAGGGTTATTTCAAGAAAGATGAGCTGACATGATCTTCTCAGTCATGAAGATGCCAACTCTTGCTTCAAGGGACAGTCTTTTGAGGGACTCGGGGCATTTATTGGCATGGTGTGAGCTGCCAGTCAAAAAACACTCCAGCCAGCAAAAATAATGGCGAAAAGACAGCTCACACCATCCTGAAACCATGCACACTACTAATAAGGATAAAACATGGTATCAGAGAGAGCACTTGTTGTATAGGGACCATTCACTGGAAGGCTTTGTGCAAATAATATCTCCTGCGAGATCCAACTACCTGTCAGTGACTGATGTGCCCAGGCCTTCCTGCACCCCGGCATACCTGTACGGGGATGTCATTGTAGAGACATCAATCTTTATCTGCAGAAGTGTGACCAGCACTCATTTTTACAGCATTAGCCCTGCACACCAGTGTCCGGTCTCAAGCACAGGCCCTAGGGCACACTTCTGAAAACACTACACACAAATCTATTTCACCAGACCATACGTAGTTAAGGAGGGGGTTTAGTGACTGCTAATAGACTCCTAGGACTTGTTCACCCAACATCATCTCGATACATCCTTGTTGTCTGACAAATACTTCGTCTGCTGGCACTGCTGGTGGTGAACAACTGGCACCAAGAAGTCAGAGCATGTCAGTGGGTAGCGCTGTGTGCAAGGGACTGCCCTGGGGTGCCAGAGGCCTGGGCTCTGCTCCTAGCTCTGTCTGACCACAAGCAGCCTCAATCAAAGCAGCTCTGCTTTCACATCCCAAATCTCTCTGTTCTCTACATACTGTTTTTTATAGCACGAAGCACAGAATACACACAGAACTTGCACAATGAGAACATTCTCCCAAGCAGGAAAGTAACACCAGTGCTGCTCAAATGCTACAAACAGGGTCTTCAACAACAAACTGTCAGAGAAGGCCAAAATTCAAATGCTTACATTTATCCAGATGTCTGTTGTTTCTTCATAAATAATGAAAGGTGTAACAGAATCTGGTACAGCATCGATAAGTTTCTGTCTTTCCATTGCATCATCTTCTGTGGGGATGAATAATGCAGGAGGGATCAAGACTATCTGAAGCCGAGTTTGGGAGCGATCCAGTAAGATGGACCAGATGCTGTTGAGGAGACAGATATTAGAGAAAATAACATGCAACCATGAGTATCAGACCTGAAAACCTCAACACTCATTAGCCCTAGGCATTTTGAGGGAGTCAAGAACGTTCAATTTCAGATTAAGCACAAAGCCACGTGTAAAATTTCACCCACATAAATAAATCTCTTCCATAACACAAGAACCTATTTCACTTCATTTCAATATTGCATAAGCACTGCAGGTTCAAAAGTTTAATTAATTCTATTCTCCCAGATTTGAATTGTGCTTTAGGGGAGAAAGAAGAGAAAAATCAGAGGGAATAATGAAGCAGAAAAATTTCAATTGGAATTTTGCGATACTTGTGAAAATACTCATGTTTTAAACCTATACCTGGCAGAGAATAATACTGGCACCTAAATGGATTGGCAGTAGACCCTGCCATACTTCTGATGGCTTTGCATGTAGCTCTGACAAAAATCCTGCAAAAAGCAAGATAATGTAGAGAGTGTGTCCCTGCACTTCTTCCACATTTGAGGGGGGGAAAAAATATTAAAAAGGTGAAAGCCATCTTTAGATTCAAGAACTGGAGAAGTGTAATTCTGGAGAAGCTTCTGGTGAGTTAGAAACACTGTACTACATCATCTACAGGGTTAAAAATGACATGCAAATGTAAGTAGCACTTACAGCAGGTTTTCTGATCAGTAAGTCTGGTCAGCAAGGATGGTCCAGTGGTTAGGGCGCTAGCCTAGGGGACCTGGGCTCATTTCTCTCCTCAGCCACAGACTTCTTGTGTGACCATGGCAAGTCACTTAGCCTCTCTGGGCTTCAGTTCCCCATCTGTAAAATGGGGACAATAGCACTGCACTCTCTCTCACAGGGATGCTGAGAGGACACATACATCAAAGGCTGCAAGTGTCCAATACCAAAGCAATAGGGCCAGGTACCAGAGAAAGAGACAAGAACTCGGTTTTGGTTTTGAAAAAATCGTCCCCTTTGCACAAACAAGTTTGTAGCAATGTAAAAATGAAAGCAGGCTTAAGCTTAAAGAAGACAGAGACCACTACATTCTGCTTCTAACTGTATTGCCCCAAACACTCTAAGCAGAGACAGGATTAACATACGCACTATTTTCCTTCTGGCGTCCACCCAGCTCTAGCAATGTACTCTACTCCTTCAAAGAGGATCTCGAACGGCTGAACTAGCTCTTTATCCACAACATCTGCAATCTGTTGACAAAGCAGCAATTCAGTGACACTGAGATGAACCCCCACACAACCAGTTTTCATGCACACTGAAAGTCTGGACACAGAAGACTTATTCTGTGCAGCTCATGTAATTTAGATTGTTCAGCCTTTGCAACACAGGGGATTCAACCCCATCTGTAGCCAGAAACCAGCATAGTAGGAGAGCTGTGCACTGCCAGCACAGCCAGGGCTTGAGAAATCTGGGTCATTTGTCTCAGACAAGTCACTTGAACACTCAGTCTCCCCATATAAAGGGGAGGTGATTTGTACCAAGCTATTTTGTAAGGTGCTTTAATTGGTAGATGTTGAACATCCTGCATGACATCCAGTTGTCAATGTGGTTCTAATTCATGATATGCAACGCTGCCGTCTGTCCCTGCTGGGACTGGGGACAAAGTCACAGCGGTACCCCAAGGGTCTGGACGGCTTTCCCTGCTGGCTGACATCAGCATGGCTATCCCAGCAGGTGACTGCTGGTGGCTGAAGAAGCTCTAGAGTAGAGAGAATCCCAATAACGTATGGCTGTTACTGTATCTGTTTGGTAAGATTAACTTCCCAACTGTTTGAAGATCTTGGACTGCGCTATGGAAATTTCTGCATCTGTTAAAAAAATCCCTGGGTGAAAGTAAAGTTCACCTCTTTCCACATGTTCACACTTTTGTAAGGTGATACATTGTCTTTGCAATCTAATTTTCCCAATATATCCAGCCAATCAAGAGATCTGTCACATAAGAAGGTCCAACCATCCACACCTAAAATACCCTGCTCTGCAGCTGAGTTCATAAACCAGTGGTAGGGAAGGAAAGTACAGCCTTGAGAAATTCTGCTGCACACACAGACACCAAGTATCTGCGCAGGAATGAGCCAAGTGCACTGCCTCCAGAGAGGCCATTAAGCTATCAAAACCAAGGAAGTTCATTTGTACTGAACTGGAAAATGAGTTTTACCAAAAAAGAATCACAGAAATTATGTTTATTTGGAAAAACAAGCAGAACATAGAACTTACTCTGCCTTCCACATTGATTGTCACTTCAGATATCTTGAAAGTGACCTTTGGATTTGCTGTACCTATAAAAACAGATGTTAGCAGTCAGGCACCAGTTGTTTGCTTCGAAGAGGGCAGACTTGAACTGTGGATTATTGTGGTGTTATTCATACAGAACTGGAAAAGGCAAATAGCAGAATGCTCTTTGATCAAATAGCCTACTTGCACATGCGAGAGACAGCAAAGAACAAGGTAGGGAGAAAAAAGAGACTGCAAACATGAGGAGACTCAGTGGATTTAATCCTGCAAACAGATCTGATCAGAGGCATGCTACTGTCACAGGCAGTCTTCTCTCCCACAGTCAAAGGCAGCATGTGCTAGTTGGAGGTAAATGCTCAGGAGTGACCAGGATAGCAAAACTAGCTTTGGTTTACTGTCTGGCTGTTATTCTCAAGGTGGTATACAGAAAGCAATCCAGTGCTAAAAAAGCATCCTTGAAAATTAGAGCAACTCACACTTAAAAGCTTATTGCCGTGACTAGCGCAGATAAGGTAATAAAGCTACATATTTGTGTTGAATATTGAAAATCTAAAGTTAACTCTTCACACAAACCCAGCAACTCATCCTGCTGTACAGCACCCACAGTGCTAAATGTTGGGGCCTGCTCCATAGCAAAGGTGGGCTATAAAGAATAAAGCTGCTGGCGCTTGATCCACAAAAAGCCACATGTGGCAAATTCTCTGAATATTCTCAGTGCTGCTGCAAAGTACTCCCAACCTCATCAACCTGGTTTATACACAAAAAACGATGCACTGAGGTGAGATGACTTGCCTGGGGCCCCAGCGCTGGCCTATTTAAGTACTTACCTTCAACGTGTGAAGAATTTTCTCCACTACCTCAAGCTCTGCCCTCATAACAACCCACTGAAAAGGGCTACTGTCCCTGCAGCTCAGACTGGAAACTGAGGCCCAGAGATTAAAGACTAGATCTTTTTCTAAAGGGATTTGGGCTTTGGTTTGCTCATTTACCTACGCTGCTGAAACTTAGCACTGAACAGAATTATGACAAAATACTCTCAGAAATCTGGGTGTACACAAGTGACGAAAAAACACAAGGAGTCATCTTTTGCTTCCCAGGCTAACACTGAACCTTTCTTTCTCCTTGAAACAACTAGTAAATCAGGATCACAAGCAGAAAACTTTCCCCAGTAGATCAGGAGATCTGCAAGATCTGAAATGAATTCTGCAACTTGGAAAGGTCAGCAAAAGAGAAGACTTTTCTCCAAAAACAGATTTCAGGAGTAAGGAAAGTGAGTGAGCCACTTAATTAACTATGAGCAACATGCTCTCCTGAAACAGAAGGGAAATCTCAGAAGAACAAAGGCCAGAATGTTCAAATTTGCCTCATACACCTGACACATGCCAGTGAATCAGTCCCAGCAGGTCTGCATGAGTCCCACTTCCCTGCTTTCAATGGCACTCCACTCAGTATGTTTCAAGCCTGCCCTCACCCCTCTACTGCTGAAGCCTCCAGATCATTTACTGTTTGAAAATATGACAACAGCGGGTTTTCCTGGCAGGCTGTAAGCAGGCTGAGTTTGTTGTTCAAAGTCCAAGAGCAATCATGGAAACCAGAGTCCTTCAGAATTTGAACTACCAGGGCACTGCCAACAGCTAAACAGAAACCCTCCTGAAAAAGCAAAAGGCCATAAATCTGCAGCTTTTCCCTCAGAGACACAGGGCTGTAATGAGAAACAACTCCTCGACAGCTCAAATCTGCCAGGATCTGAGACAACAGCTCCAAAATAGTGACAATCAGATAGAGTTTCCACCAACTCCTGAGAGACCCAACTCAGAGCTCTTAGTAACCGCATGGCTGGAATATCAGTACAGTCACCAGTGACTAATCTAACCTCCACAGCAGCAGTTTCCCCAAACACACTTCCAGCACCTGGACACCAATTCAAAAACTACTAAACACCTCTCCAACAACCCCCTGCTCTAGGTTAGGAGAGTCACTGCTGTCAGGCACATGGAATAAAATATGTGTCTACTGGAAACAGAGATGTAAGGTATCAGGGTCTCACCAGTTTTGGGGTACCGGAAGGAATCCGTTCTTCTTGTCTCCAGCATGGGTGATGTGACATGAATAATTTCCACCTCTGACTCATCATTTTCTTCATAAAGAATTCGAAGAACTTTACCCCCACTCAGTGCTGTAAGTGAATTAACATTTGCTGGTCAGAACAGCTCTCATTACCAGTTATTGCAGGCATCAATACTCATTATCAGTTACTGCAGGCATCATTATTCTCTCAGGAGCACAAACAGGTTGGAAGCATAAAGAAAATTCCAACAAAGTCTGTGATTCATGTTTCATTAAGCAAAACATTCTGAAACTCTTACAACTCCTACCACTGTTGTGAGAAGGAAAGTCTCTTCCCCCAGTAACATGTGCTCACAAGGCAACAGTAACATGCCCACCGCTGCGAATAGTTTAAAAGGAGCTATGAATATAAAGTTCCTAGCCTGCATAAAGACAAGTAGCAGAAAAAAATAACTGCACTGGACAGCACAGCAGGGGAGCCACTACTTGTGCCCGTCAGACACACCGGATCCATCACACCTACTTGGCTGTGCCTTTGGGCTCCACCAGTAGCCAGTGTATCTGTCAAACTCCTCCTGCAGCACAAAAGTAGCCACACCAGCAGATTTTGGATCCTCTTCGACATTGGCCAGTTCTAAAAAAAGACACAAAAGAATTAGTTCATGATTTACTGCTGAATCAAGCCAGTTCTACATTATCCCAAACACGGCCCAAGTTCACCCCCCAGGAACAATTACACAATAATAAATTGACTTCTCAGCAGATTTCTTTTCTACTTCCACTCTGCTCTGTTGATTTATTTAGGGAGAATCTAATCCTCTGACATGGCAGCTTCTTTTAGGAAAGGAAAGCAATCCCCTCTTCTTACTCCTACCCAATTAGTCTCTCAATTTTCTATGTACTAGTTGAAGAAAGAAAATATTCTCTCTACCTGAGCTCAGTGAATTCAAACCACAACTTTTAAGTAAATCAAAGAAAAAAACCTGACAAAACAAACCCTCCTGAACAACTGAAACTGACAATATCAACATTCAGAAAAATGAAAGCATTTCATTCACTGTACAAAGGTAATGGACTTATATAACATCTCAACATGATGACATATCCATAGGGCTTCAATATTTTTCCTGTTACCCTGGAGGTAACTTAGCAGCGCTCCATAAATAATTATAATCTGAGGAAGAGTCATTGCTACAGTTTATTTTTAATGTACTTACATAATATTTTAATATTTAACATTTAAATAAGCTAAAGCATATTATAAAGCGTCAGAAATTTTAGTTCAACTAAAATTTAAATTGTACAGTTTAAATACAAATTATGATTTTAAATACAAAATGGAATCGATTTTTAAAAAGTGTTTTCTCCACAGTTTCCTATTTTCCTTCCTCCAGGATACATGTCTAAACCAGAGTTCGAGAGGGTAAGGCATGAGGACCTAAGTTACTGAGCATGAGGGGCCAGCAGAAGCCACAGTGCTATTCAGAAACTGTCTGTATTGTTTCTAAAAGGCCCTGCAGCCTGATTTCACTGACAGAAACTTTCCTTCAGCTCTATTCCACCCACAGCTCCTCCACACAAAACAGGCTGTTCCAGTAAAAAGGAATGCACTGTGTTTCAGAAGAGCCCTTCGATATGTATTCAACAAATAACTCACTCTGCCAGATTCCACAGTGCAGGGAATAGAATCATCCCACAATATCTGCACCAGAGGAAACATGTAGAACGTGACAAACAAGGTGGAATAAACAGTGGCCATTCCCCCAGATTTCAGAAGAACCCCTAGTGCCATTGCTTAATTCAGTCTAGCAAGAACAAGTGCAGGGGAGGTGCAGAAATTTTAATTCAGGATGCATTACCATTGTGCACAAATGTTAGCCTTCTTTCTTCTCTGGTTTCTATATTAGATATCCAGATGTCATTGCTATGGATAAATGCAATCCAATTTGGATCAGCTGGACAAAGCTTGGGATCCATACGGATATTTGGACAACTGGTCTCTACCAGAATGGGTCTTAAAGGCTGTTGCTGTTTGAAAGAAAGAAAAAGCACAGTAAGCAATAATAACACATGGACACTTACATAAGCTAACCTGGATCATCAGAAGGTCTCTAAGACCACAATATTATGGACACTGACTTCAAATACAGAGGTTTACAAACAGAAGAATTTATCAGTGTTAAACACAGAAAAATATTGTGCAGATATTTTACAAGGAAATTTGTGCTTCTACCACAGTGTCACAGATCCCACCAGGGTCTCTTTCACCAGTGCTGAGGATTAGCCACAAATCATAAGGCAGCTTGCCTAGAGAAGCCTGGCACACTTAAAAACAGCACCCTAAAAAAGGCCTGGCAGAACATACAATTTTGTCCTCCAAAAGCAATTCAGAGTACAGTAAATTCCCTCTGACAACAGAGTTTGACAGACATTAGGCATTTATTATAATAATAAGAAATTATTTCAGCTTTGAACGCCAGCTTCAGCATCAGCAGAGTAAAGGTTGCTTGTTCTGCAAGTTACACAGCCAAATCTTGTAACACAGAGCACTGACTGCTGAACAGTGACCTCTACACCACAGCTTGGGAACAAAAGCTCCCTCTGACATGACTTCTGACTGCATGAAAGAGCACAGAGCATCACAGCCTTTGCGTTGCTTTTTACTGGCATTGCTACTTGTGAAAAATTAGCAAAATCTGGTGTTCTGCCTTGCTGCTGCAGTTTCTACCATTTCTCATAATTCTCCACCTGAGTTTCTACAGCCATGGAAATGCATGCCCCCGTGGAGAACTTCTCCACGTTTCAAGGGTTATTGAGGCTACTTGCCATGCTCATGCAGCAGTAACTGATGAGGATGCTTTGCTTTCACTCCAAGCCAAAGGAGCTTCTAGCCAGAGGAAAGCAATACTGCAGAAAACTGGAGAGGTGAGTAAACTCACAGTGAATCCGTGAGGGCCTCCATCTTTTACGTGATAAATTCCGCTCCCAGCCTGAAACAGAAAGGTGCCACTTTCCCGGTGGTAATCGTAAGAAGCAATCCCAATGGTGCCAATTCGCTTCCTCTCCCGTAGCAACTCCTCTTCACGAGAGTACATCCCATAGTCCAGGATGGCCTGAATTCGGGCAGAGAAGAACAATCAACACCTCTGCTCTGCATGTCTTACTATACTGTCAGAGCGTCTGCATGCCAACCTTCCAGGAGCAGATGGCTGTGCAGACACCCTCCTCCCCCAGAATCCTGCTGGCAGCTAGAAGCCCGCTCCTGCTTGTGCCTCTGCCATCAGCACTTGTAAGTGCAGGCCATGATCAGATCCTACACAACTGTAAACCTGACAGCCGCCTCTCCCATAGCAAGGACAGTGTTATTTCCATTATTCACTGATATAAGAAAGATGAGACTGAATGTCTATTATTTCTAGAACAAGCAGGAGAGTCATTGCTAACTTTCACAGAGATACACAGTGACTGGTCTGGTGGGAGGAGAGCACAGCATGGATTTTATGTCTGGCTGACAGCCTCAGGAAATAACATGGGAAAATACACACCCAATTTCACCTGGCATTTGTCCCCCCTCCTCCAACCTGCCACAGTGCATGGGGTGGGACTGGTGTGGCCTTGCTATGCACAGATATGAGAAGGGTCCCAGTGAGTGGGAAAGGGATCCTCTGCTCCTGCGTGAGTCACGGAGCCACTCACTGATCCTCAGGGGAACTCTCACTTCCCGCTGCAAGATAGTGATTATTGGAGACTACAGGCTCCTTCAGCACTCTCCAGGATCTCACAGCAGAGAATCTGATGCAAATTAGTACTTGCAAACTCTGCTGGCAAGAGAAATAATCCAGCACACACAGTTTTTATGATGCACAAAGGCTGTAACTCCAAACACTGATGAGAAAGCTGTGCTTGGTTTTGAGATGGCTGCAGAGTTAACCAAGTACAAGAATAATCTTAAAATCTTTAAGACAGTAATCTCCAAATTTTAATGATGGCTTACAGGTGGAACCCCAAAGCCCGTGTACTTGCTACGATGCCAAGAAGAAAGAAATAAATCAGGACCCACCGGAAAAAGATCCAAAAGAGGCTTCCAGGAAAGCAACAAGGCGGCAGCTTTGTTTATGGTTTTGGGAATCTCAGAGTAGAAGAGCGTGTTCTCCCTGTTCTCCCCAGACATTGCTATTGTGAAAGTGAGGAGGAAAAAAATGTGTATTAGCTTTCTTTTAATAATCCAAACACTCTCAAAGGATGCCCAGAAACAGTTTCACAGGCCCTTCCTACCAGAGAAAGTACTGATGGTCTGCACTGCAGCCTCGGTCTGGGAATTCTGCTTCACATAAATGCAAGTCATGGAGAAGGCAGAGAACAAGGAACTACACCCAGGCTTACCCCACACTGCCTGAAGCATATCTGTGTTCTTGAAGGCTCAGGCCCTTTTATTTTCTAAGCTTTTAAAAATCAAGGAAGGCCTTTCTGCTAATTCCCCTAGCTAAAATACAACATGACACAGCTTGTGTTTCAAAGATAATGTGTCTTTCTGAAGGTTTGAACATCCCTTTCCTGCTCTTTTCCCTCACTGCTATTCAGATTTCTGAAAGCTCAGGCATGTAGGCATCAGCCTAGAGGGAGCCAGATGTGCCCTGGGGAACTCAAGTCTGACTGATAGTTCAGGAAGTGGCACATAGGAAACCAGAGCTCATCTCAGCTGGGGTCAGCCTTAATCCACCCTCAACATCCTTCAACTCAGCATTATTCAAGGATTATGACCCCCATCCTCTAAAAAGGGAAAAAAAGAGACAGATCTTTCTGACTACATCACAGCACAACACATGCAAAGGCTCTGAGAACCACAAAGCAGAGCTTAAGCAACTAGCCTAAGCAGCAAGCAGTAGGGCTGGAACATGGTTCCGGCTCCTAGGCCTCTGCTCTGGCCATTGCTTCTCACCCTAACCCAATTTTTCATAGACTTATGTTCAGCTTTTGACAAAAGTGTTCCTCTACCACAAGGTCTGCCCCAAAAAACCACTCAGAAGGTTGCTCACAGCATCATTTACAGTGCCAAAGCACTTCAAGCACAGCTGCAATTTAGAAATACAGATATAAAGTGAACACCAATTAGTGAAACAATGCAGAAGTGAGTCACTAAGGCCAAGAACAATAAATTACGTTGTTCTTCATTATCAAGAACAAAAATGCTGAGAAAAACATTTACTGTTTAAGCTGTCCCTGCTCTACACTGCCACTTATTCCCTCCAGAATCGATGGAAAACCTACTACTATATCTGAGGCACAAAGGACTTTCAAAATTACATTTATAATCTCTGTTTTGGAAGGAAACTTTGAGGAGGAAAAGGTTCTACCCACCAGTTGTAATTAAGAGAAAGGAGATTAAACTGACACAGCTTTTAGAGAGGGGATAGTGTACTTGGAGTGAGAGAAAACAGACTGAACAGACTTAACCTGCCCACCCACCTAGGGAACATGTTCCAAAGGACACTTCACAGTTCTGTTCCAGCTCCAGCAAGCCTAACGGGACACCTCCAACCACACCATTTCTGGGGGAGATTACATCGCAAGTTTTAACGAGACATTATGATCACAATTGTGACATCAGACCAGCCAATCTGCCCTGAAATCCACTATGATTTAACTGCCACAAACACCCAGCTATCAAGAACAGTCAATCCCAAAAAGCCTCTGTGGTGACTGCTTAGTCAAGACACAGGCTGTCATAGCAAGCTTACCCAGATAGTATATTCTATCAGAATGAGGTCCTTCAGGGTCATTTTTCTTCACAAATGTGAAATCATGAGGGGCTTTTGCCATCATGTACCCATGATACTTCCGTGTATCTGTGAGGAGTTTCCGAAGCTGGCTCCAGGAATGTCTCTCTACATAGAAAGGTTCCAGTTTTGGTTGCTCCTCTCTCTGGACCTGCTCCTCGCGGCCCGCAGTTTCAAAGATTTCAAGGCCCGGCTGTTCAGTTTCCATGGCTGCTGCCATGTTGCATGTTTCTGGAAAAAGAGAATAGCAGAGGTTCAGCACTGCCTTCCAGCAGCCGTGCAAACATCCACTTCAGGCTCCCCAAACACACCACAGCAAAAACATTATAAGAAAACCACCATTTCACTCAAAGAAAAAAAACACAGCAGAATGAAGAGGACTAAGAAGGAAATTTCTGCTGTGGAAAACAAGCTGCCATCACTCAGCCTTTCAGAATGGGACTAAGAACTTCACGGAGCCACACAGATTTATTGTCTGCCTTTTCCACACCCCCACATGCCAACTACTCATTTCAGTGCATGAAGTAGATAAATTCTTCCCCGTTAAGCTCCTACCTGCTTCTTCCTCCCTGTGAACTGCACAAATATCACCTCCTTACACTGATATCAGAACAGAGGATGATTAGGACTGGCCAGATCTGGGACAACCAGCTGCTTAGAACAAACAACATCAGTAGTTTATTTGGAACCACCAAGCCATACACAATGGGGCTAGGCAACTGCACGCCCTTATTCCCATTATTCTCCTGTAATTTCTTGGGTTTGTTTGCATCTCTTCAAACAAGGCTTGAAAGGGTCTAGCAATGATCACCACTACTATATAATCTCAAGGATAATTACAAATACTGTATGGATAAGACTCTTCCAGAAGTGTGAGGTGATACCAGAGGAAAAGAGACACAGTGAAAAAAAGCATTTACCAAATAGATTTATCTGCAGCATAAGTCTTATCCTCCTGAACAGGTTGTTAATTTATCAGAAATCTTTTCCTGCAGTCAGCTGTGCTTTACAAACTATATCTGAGCTAGAATTAACTGCCCAGATGTCTGGTAAGATGAAACCTAGTCATTCCACTGTAAATCCCAGGACTGAGGGCAGCTTCAAAGGGATCTAAGCTATAAACTCCCACCACATAGTTCATTACCAAAGGGACCAAGGTGTAAGGATTATCAATCCTCAAAAGGAGACTTTTTTCTATATATAGAATGGAAAGACTGCACAACTGTTCTGCACACTGCTAGGGTGCAGCTTGGTGGCCCGAGCCTGACAAAAACACCAACACAGACTAAATAAAGCATTCTCATTGAGCAAACAGGCACTAAGGGGTCACAGAAATTCACAGCATGGGCTTGGGTAGCAAAGCTACCCGAGGCAAAGCTCCCTGATGGTCTGGCTCTCCTGCTGCTCTACACAGCAGCTCAGATACCCCACCACAGATAAGCAAAAAATGAGACGACCTACACCTTGGCCAAACCCATTTTAACACAAAGCAGAGCAAGTCTGGACTAGAAGTTTGGTTCCACTTTTGACAATACTAACACAACTAACACAGGTCTTTCTTTTGTCTGAGTTATTTACAACACAAAACCATGACACAAGTTAAACAGCCCTGTAAAACTGGAAGGATAGTCCAAACACCTACAAGGAACAGTGCTCTGCTCAGACCGCATTAGAAACTGAGAATGAGACTTCAAACCGGAATCAGAAAACTCTCATCTAATTTGCAGAATTCCAACAAAGAAAAATCTCCTTTCCCCACCAACACCTAGATGCTGGTATGACTTAACCCGATCTACTTCTCACCCTTCCCTCAAAAGAAAATAGATAAAAAACCAAGAGCAGCAGCCTTCTAACAAGCAAACGAGTGAGAACCGCCACCCGGTGAGATGATGTTAGTCCAGGGTAACGATCTGCCTCCCAGGAGATCACTGCGGGATCTCTACCGCAGCCACCTTCTGCCACGTGAAGCATTTTATTTCCACCTTCCTGCAGCCAACAAAGAGACCGCTCCGTTCTTGATACCAGCTCAGGGGACCGACCCGCACTACAACTCCGTAGGACGCCTCGTATCCGCAGGGTGCGCGGAGGGGCAGGTCAGGCCTGAGCGTGATGACGGCCCCGGGCCTGCCGCTGCCGCCGGGGTCGAGGAAGCGGGCAGAGACTGGGAGGGGCCCCCCTACCGCCGAGGGCAGCG